GATTGTAATAATTTTTATTTTGCGTACTTTTATTATAAGTATTCCACCTGCGAAATGATAAATTTTAAAAACTTTGACTTTGCTGAAGGTCACAACGTGTATGATAATTTTTTTATTATACAAAATAATTTTTTTTATAAATAAAATTCAAATTAAAAATTGCAAAAATATCGTGGATCGAAACTTTAGAAAAAGAATTTAATGGTCGTGTTAAAGTATATGACTAAAAACTGAAATGGAAAATAATTAAAATTTAACTTATACTTAACGTGACCAAAAATCGTAGATCTACTTTTTTACTATTTAGTAATTATTTTTTTTTAATTCTTATTATTTTTGCTGATTATTTTCTTTGCCGCACATAAAAAAAGTCACAATTCTTTAAGAAAAAAAAAATATATAAATAATATTTGAAAACTTGTCAACTTTTTATATTTAAATTATCATTTCATATCAAGAGAGAAAAAAAGAAATATTTTCTCTTCATTTCTTTGAAGAATAGAAAAAATATTAATTTTAATTAAGGAGACAAGTGAGTCAAATGACAAAAATTCTAAAGAACTTTTTCAAAAGAATCAAGAAAACAATGAATAAATTGTAAAATTTCAAAAATTCAATTATTTAAAAATTTGTTGATAAAAATTTTCCTGAGAATTCAATTTTAAGAAGTAATCAAATATTCAATAAATTACAATATTTTTCTATTTAAGTAATTGAATTCTCTTAGAATTTACTAATAAAATTTTATTTGAATATGAATTTTAGTTTTTAGAAAATTGTAAACAAATAAATTTGAAAATTCTCAAAGAACTTTTTAATAATTTATTAAAAATAACTGATTTAAAGAAGAATTTTAGTTATGTAAGTTCTAGAAAAAAATAATTGAATTGAAATGATGAAAATAATTTTGAAGAAGTTACAGGAGTGATTAATTTCTTCATGTTTTATAATAAAATATTCTTATACAAATTGTTGAATTTCAAAAAGGTTTGAATTTGAATTTTGATTTCTGTGGAAAAATAATAATGATTAAATATTTATTTTAAAAAAGAAATTATTGATGTTTTCGAATAATTTTACTATTAGAGAAATTTGTAAATAAATGTAATAGAAACATTTTTTTGAGTATCTAATCATTTTTAGAGTGAAACAGAGAATATTCTTTAGGGTCAGGGAAAAAGTCAAAATTTTGTCTGAAGGTCAAGGATTTAGGGCAAAAGTTAAAATTTTTGAAATCTATACGATTTGAAAAATTTTAATTTTTTTTTGAAAAATAAAATTTCGAACACATATTATTATTTACAAGTGTACGTGAGAGTGATGCGCGGCACTATATGGCACACCAACTTGTAGATAGAATTAAGATAAATCGCGTTTGCCAAGTTGATTTATAACAGAACGACGAGAGAGAGAGAGGAGAGACGACGAGACGTGTCATTGCGCAATGCAACAAACGCACCTGCGATTTGGTTCGTTATGCATTGGGAGAAAAGCCGCATTTCTATTCCCCTGTAATCAAATGAGTTCGAGTCCAATGCAGTTTAAATATTCCATTTGCAGAGAAAACTTTTATCGACAGATATAAATCGTCTCCCTCTTCTCTCTTTCTCTCTCTCTCTCTCTCTCTCTTTCTATATCTATATAAATATATACTCACACACACACACATTTTTATATATATATACGAAAACTATGCATATGCGATCGTGCGAACTGAAAAGAATCGTAAAAAGTTTTGACTAACGAGATCTCTGTATGTTATAAAACTCCACGGAATAAAGCTCTGAAAAAAGCTTTATTTTCTTGTTGCAAATGGGATTCATTTAACATTTATAGAAATATTACTCTCGCGTCTCTATCGCCAGTAGAATATATAACTTTTTTTCTCCCTCTCTTTCTCCATATATACAAGAACACAAATTTTAAAAATTCTATTCCAAATTAAAATTTCAAAAAGAAAGTTCGAAAAAATAGGAATAAAGTTTTAATTGTTAATTTGATGCTTATAGTAATTATAATAGTTTTTGCTTCTTATATAACATAAAAGAAAAAATAATGTAAAAAACAGGAGAGAGAGAGAGAGAGAGCAAGAAAAGGGAATGAAAAAAACACAAATAAAGAAAGAGAAAAGATAAATTGAAAAAAGATGAAAAGAGAAAGAAATTTCAAAAAAAATTTGAAATTTAATTATTTCTAGAAATTTACACTATAATTCTTCTAATATTCAATTATTATTAAAAACTTTTAGAGAAATTAACTTTTAATAAAATTCTTATTAAAAAATTCAACAAGAATTTAATTATTTAAATACAAAAATAAATAATTTATTAAATAAATGAATTTTTATACAGAGATTTATCAAAATTTAAAAAAAAAAATTGAATTGCTAGGAAGAATTTCATTAAAATTTTCAAAAATAATTGAAATACTGGGAAAAATTAAATTATTTATAAAAATAATAGAATTATTCAAAAGAATTTTATTAAATTATTTTTTAAATAATTTATTTTTTTTAAGAATTTTTATTTTTATGAAAATTGTGTTTTAAATTATTGAATTCCTGTGGAAATTTTATTATTTATGAAAATAATTGAATATATGCGAAGAATTTTATTAACATTTTTTTTTAAATATTAATTAAATTCTCTTGAATAATTAAATATTAAATATTTTAACTGAAATTAATTTTTAAATTAAATTTTCATAAAAAATGCTACGAGAATTCAATTAGTGAAATACAAAAAAAAATTACTTATTGAATAATTAAAATTCAAATTAAAAATTAAATTAAATTCTCATAAAAAATTTTATCAACAGATTTTTAAATAATTGCAATCTTTCGACAAAATTTTAATAAAGTTTTTAAGAATAATTACGTTTTTCGTGAAATTCGATTAAAATTGTATTAAAAATACTTCCTCTATGAGGAAGCAATAATTGAAATTCTGCGAAGAGCTTTATTAAAATTTTTTTAATTAATTGAATTCCTGAGAAGAATTTTACTTAAATCTAAAAGAATAATTTATTTTTTTTTTTAAAATTAATTAAAATTTTATTTATATACAATTTTAATTTATCAAAAATAATTGATTTCTTTAGAACAATTTTATTATAATATTTGAAAATAATTGAATTTCTTTGAGAAATTCTAATATTTTTGTAAATAATTGAATTCTTCCAAAGAATTTTAAAAAAACTTTCTTTTAAATAATTGATTTTTTCGAGGAATTGAAATTAAATTTTAAAGAATAATTATATTTTTTGAGCAACAATTCCTGTAAAATCGTATTAAAAATAATTGATTTTTTTCGAACAATTTTATTAACATTTTCAAAAATAATTGAATTCCAGAGAATAATTTTATTACTTATGCAAATAATTGAATTATTGCGAAAAATCTTATTAAAATGTTTAAAAAGAATTAAATTTATGTAAAAAAATTTGTTATTTTTGAAAATAATTGAATTCTTCATAAGAATTTTATAGGAATTGTTTTAAAATAATTAATTTCTTCGAAATATACAAATAAATATTTTGACAATTTTATTTTAAATAATTCAATTTGTGTGTGAAATTCTAATATTTTTCAAAATAATTGAATTTTTCTAAAGAATTTTAAAAAAATATTCTTTTATATAATTAATTTTTTCGAAGAATTGAAATTAAATTTTTAAGAATAATTACATTTTTTGAGCAATTCCTGTAAAATGGTATTAAAAATAATTGAAATCCTGCGATGAATTTTATTATTTATGAAAATAATTGAATAGTTGATAAGAATTTTATTAAAATTTTCAAAAATAATTGAATTCCTGAGAATAATTTTAATATTTATGAATATCATTGAATTATTGCGAAAAATTTTATTAAAATGTTTAAAAAAAATTGAATTTCAATGAAAAATTTTGTTATTTTTAAATATAATTGAATTCTTTATAAGAATTTTCTAAACATTGTTTTAAATAATTATTTTTTTCGGAAATATAATAAATATTATGAAAATTTTATTTTGAATAATTAAATTCTTTTGAAAAAATTTATTTGTGAAAATAATTGAATTTTTCGATTATTTAATTTAAAATAGTATTAAAAATAATTGAAATTCTTTGATGAGTTTTATTATTTATGAAAATAATTGAATTCTTACTTAGAATTTTATCAACAAATTTTTTTTTTAAAATTCAATTTCCATGAAAAATATTATTATTAGTGAAAGTAATTGAATTATTGTGAAGAATTGAATAAAAATTTTGTTAAATAATTGATTTTTTGGAAATTTTTTTTTAAAATGCTATTGTAAATTAATTGAATTTCTGTGGAAATTTTATTATTTATGAAATTAATTGTATTTTGGATGAATTTTATCATTTTTTTTTTTTTAAATAATTGAATTGTTTTGCGAAATTTTTATGAAAATACTAAATATTGAAAATAATTGAATTTCGAATATTTTTTTAAAATAAATAAATAATTGAATCGTTTTAAAGAATTTGATTATAATTTTTGACAGTATTTTTTTTATTTCTAGTATTAGCGAATTTAAAGTAGTGGAAATTGTCAAAAAAAAAAAACAGAAATAGTAGCTTTTAGTGGCTAAAATCTAAAAAAAAATATCCATTTAGCAGCATAACGTAAAAAAAGAAGTAAATAGTAGGTTTTAGAGAGAAAAATTGGCTAAAATCTAAAAAAAATACCCATTTAGTAGCATAACGTAAAAAAGAAGTAAATAGTAGGTTTTAGTAGAGAAAAAGAGAAAAGAAGATTAGAGAAAAAGAAGAAAAGAGAAAAGAAAAAAAGAAAAAAAGAGAAAAAGAAGAAAAGGAAAAAAAAGAAGAGAACAGAAAAGAATAAAAAACCAACAGAAAGAAAAAAAAACTGCATAACTGAATGCATAGATTTGTTTGAATACAAATATAAACTGTATGTAATGATGGCAATAATAACAGTAATAATAATTGCAAGTTTATTTACCACTAATATAATTTCCAGTAGTGTCTAAAGTGCAATTGGCTTCTCATTCGCAACTATGTGTACAAACGTTCGTGTTGCCTATTATACTGATTACCATGTTTCTATATAGGTACGAATCATGTCATTAATTTTGTCATCCATATATCACCTCGCACTGAGTTGAATGCAAGTCCTTTATAACTTTTCATTGAACTAACAATTGAAACGTGTTGGAAAACATGAAAATTCTATGCCTATATATATGTTAATACATGTATATACAATATATTTATAATGTTCCTTATTTTACCTCCTTTCGCGCAATTCTCTCTTCGATTAAGCAATACCCTGCATTTCATGATTTCTGCATTTCATGATTGTTATTAAAAGCGAAGTGGCATTTAACAAAGTCGATAGTTAGCCTCGCGATTTAATACTTTGAATTATAGTCGTTTTATTCTGTGTTTAATTTACCCTTATACAATGGATTCTATCGTGTTTGTAAACACGATTTGTTGGGTTTATTTATTTCTAATTATTAATTTATGCTATGATTTTTTTTGTGTTTATGAATATACATATATGGGAACAATTTTTCTTGCTTTCTGCTTTCTGTCGATTCTTTTATGTAACATTTTATAGTGTTAGAATATTTAATTATTTCAGGCTTTTGTACTCGATAATTAATTTTAAAAAAGTAGCGAAAAGGAGCTTTGAGACTAAAAAAAAAATTTCTATCGAAAAATTAAACTTGACTAATCAATTTTTTCATAATTTCCATAATTAAATTACACCCGAAAATTAGAATCTTTTTTTTGTAAATAAATATTTAAATTCCTATTTATTTTTCCACGGGAATTAAAATATTTTTATTTATTTCAATGTATAAAGCCTTTTTGAAATTTTAATATATTTCTAAAAACTGTAATTATTCCAAAAATTCATTCATTCTTTTGTTAAAATTTTTTAATAAAATTAATTCAAAACTTTAATCATTTTATTTCAAAATTTAAATATTATTACAGTTTTACAAAAATTAAAATTTTCAAAAATTTCAATAAAAAAAAAAATTCGAAACTATATCTAGAAATTTACACTATAATGCTTCTAATATTCAAATATTATTTAAAACTTTTTACAGAAATTAAATTTTTAATACATTCTTATTTGAAAATTCTACAAGAATTCAATTACTTAATTACAAAAATAAATAATTTATTAAATAAATGAATTCTTATACAAAGATTTATCAAAATTTAAAAAAAAATTGAATTGTTAGGAAAAATTTCATTAAAATTTTTAAAAATAATTGAATTCCTGGGAAGAATTTAATTATTTATACAAATAATAGAATTATTCAAAAGAATTTTATTAAATTATTTTTTAAATAATTTATTTTTTTTAAGAATTTTATGAAAATTGTGTTTTAAATTATTGAATTCCTGTGAAAATTTTATTATTTATAAAAATAATTGAATATATGCGAAGAATTTTATCAACATTTTTTTTTAATAGTTAAATTCTCTTGGAAAATTATATTAAAATATTTCAACTGAAAATTAATTTTTAAATTAAATTTTATTAAAAAATTCTACGAGAATTCAATTATTTAAATGAAAAAAATAAGTTCTTTATTGAAAAATTGAATGTTTCTTAATTTCTCATAAAGAATTTTATCAATAAATTTTTAAATAATTGAAATCTTTGAACGAATTTTAATAAAAATTTGCAGAATAATTACATTTTCGTGGAATTCGATTAAAATTGTATTAAAAATAATTGAATTTCTGTGATGAGCTTTATTAAAATTTTTAAAACTTATTTAATTTCTGAGAAGAATTTTATTATTTATTTAAAAAATAAAAATAATTGAATTACTGAAAAGAATTTTACTATTTATAAAAGTAATAATTGAATTCATCAGAAGAAATTTATTAATTTTTGTTAAATAATTGAATTCTTATGAAGAATTTTATAAACATCTTTTTAATCAATTTTTTTCCAAACAATTTTATGAAATTTTATACATACTTTATGAAAATAATTGAATGTCTGCGAAGAATTTTAAAATTTTTTTTTTAAATTATTAAATTCTTTTGGGAAATTTTTCATTGAAATAGAAGATTTTGAAAATAATTGAATTTCGAAAAAGTTTTGAAGATAATTGAATCGTCTGAAAGAACATTATTAAAATTTTTTGAATTATTTCCAAGAATTTTAATAAATTTTTTATGCTTTTGCAGGAATTCATATAAAATTGTACCTATTAAAAATAATTGAAATCTTGCGATGAATTTTTAAATAATTTTTTAAAATAATTCAAATCCTGAAAAGAATTTTATTATTTATAAAAATAATTGAATTCTTGTGAAGAATTTTATAATAAACTTTTTAAATAATTTTTTTTTCGAAAAACTTTATGAAAATTGTGTTTTACATAATTGAATTCCTGTGAAAATTATATGAAAATAATTGAATGTTCGCAAAGCATTTTATAACAATTTTTTTTTTAAATTATTAATGTCTTTTGGGCAATTTTTTATTAAAATAGTAAATTTAAAAAATAATTGAATTTCGAAATTTTTTTAAAAATAATTGAATCGTTTGTGAGAATTTTTTTAGAATTTGTTGAATTATTTTTAAGAATTTTATAAAAATTTGAAAATAATTTTTTTATTTTAACTTTCAGTGACATTAAATTTAAAAAAACAAAAAAAAAACGTAGCTTATAGTGGCACAAATCTAAAAAAAAAAGTATCCAAATAGCAGCAAATCGTAAAAAAAGTAGTAAACAGTTGGTTTTACTAGACTATAAATATAGTTAGTTCCTTTTGTAGCAGTTAGAAAAAAATGAAAAGTTAAATAAAAAGAAATATTAATTTTAAAATTAAAAGTTACAAAAGAAATAATTTTTCCTTTTAAAAATTTACCTTTTTGAATAAAAAAAAAATGTAAAATTTTTGTTGCAGGTAATTTCAAGATTTCAACCGATGCTAATTTACATAGACGATTGTGCCCTCGTCAAGGAGATAATTTTGTTGCTTTTCCTATAATTTTTACTCCAAAATCAAGGTAAAAAGTTTCTTTTTTCGTCGAATCGCGATAAATATTAAATTTTAAGAAATTAAAATAATCCAAATTATCAAGATTTTTATTTATCGAATCTTTCGAGTATAAAAATGATTTTTAACTTTTTAAGTAACCCAAACATAACATCAATTTATCTCGAAAGTTCAATTATCGAGAGATGACTGCATATATATTATATTTGTACATATATTCTTAAATCTCTTCAGTTTTCGTTAAAAATAATTATCGCGTCAGTGTATAAAAAAGGGGGAATATAATGTAAAAGAAGAAAGATAGGTTTTAAAATCGAATGGAACCTCCACTTAAAGTAGCTGTACATCGATTGTATAATTATAACATTAATGCTATAGGTACTGGTGCACGTTATGGTAAAGTAATTGCGTAATTACATCGCAGAACTCGACATACCTTCAGGCACGACATTTTACTGCTGGAAATATACGTACACACACAAACATACAGACACACAATGAAGGTGTGATGGGGAGATATAATCAAAAAGAAGTTTCAGCGAATCGAAGGGTGAGAAATGTAAACCGTTTATTTCTCGACAGGTTAAAATTAAGCCAATATTATCATTATTCAAATATCCTTGTACTTTGTGTTTTTTTTTTTTTTTTTTTTTTTTTTTTTTTGAAACAATAAAAAATCCAAAATTAAATTAAAAAATCCTAAATCAAAATGTTTTATCAAAAATTTTTTTCTCTTTGCAAGATAAATAATTACTAGCACCAATAATAATTACTTAATAATTAATAATTACCAGTCGACTTTTCACTCACTTTTTAAAATAAAATTAGCAATTTTAAAAATAATAGAACGTAAAATAATTCAAATTTTTTTTATAAAAATAAAATATTAATTGGAATATATAGTTTTAATATTAATAATATATTCTGACGTAGGGAATATTCAGGAAAAAGTCAGAATTTTTTATTAAAAGCACTAAAAAAAATTAAATTCTTAGAATTCATAAAAAAAAAATTCTTAAATTTGTGTCTTTTTTGTCTGACTCATAAACTAAAATTACCACGAATTCTAATAAAAAAAACATTCAATTTCTTCAGTTTCTGACAAAAATTTTATTTATAAATAACTTAAAACTTGAACAACTATCATAAAATAAATAAATTATTTAATGAATAATTTTACTTAAATATTCCAAAATTAATTCAATTTTAAAACAGTTGCGTTTACAATTTTCATAAATAAATCAACTTCAAACGATTTCAATTTAAAATTTTATAAAAATTCAATGTTAAATGAATTTAATTAGAAATTTTCATGAACTTAAATTTTTGAAAAATTTTAATAATTCAAAATCTTCTAAAATTAGTTAAATTTGTCAATATATATTTAATTAATTATTAAAATTAATGGATTTATAGAAGAATTTTAGTTAAAAACATTAAGAAAAAAAATTAATTTTGAAGAAGTTACAAATGACTGCAGAAATTCAATTATTTTCAAAAGTAATAAAATTCTTATCACAAAATTCAATTATGTTCAAAATTTACAAAAAAATCTGGACAAAATCCGAATTATTATCTTTATAAATAAAAAAATTCTTCTTCGAAATTTAATTATTTTAAAAAATTTTCCTCATTTCAATGATTTTCAAAATCTATTATTTTGATAAAATTACCCAAAAGAATTCAATTATTTAAAAACAATTTTAATAAAATTGTACGCAAACATTTAATTAATTTCCTAAAATAATAAAAATTTCACAGGAATTCAATTATATATGATAATTGTATTATAAAATTTTTCGAAAAAATCAATTCTTTAAAAAAATGATAAAATTCTTCACAATAATTCAATTATTTAAAGAAAATTTTAAAATGTTGTTCGCAAGAATTCAATTAATTTTATAAATAATAAAATTCATTTCGGGAATTCAATTATTTTTTAAAACAATAAAATACTTCCCAGGAATTCAATTATTTTCAAAAAAATAATAAAATACTTCTAAGGATTTGAATTATTATTAAAAATTTTAAATTCATCGCGGGATTTCAATTACTTTTAATACAATTGTAAATGAATTTCTCTAAAAAAGCAATTATTCATAAAAACTTTATTAAAATTCTTGGAGTAAAAGTGTATGGAAAAATAATTATTTAAAAAGATGTTTATAAAATTCTTCATAAGAATACAATTATTTTTATAAATAATAAAATTCTATTCAGGAATTTCATTTTTTTTTAAATAACAAAATTCTTCTCAAGGATTCAATTATTTTTATTAATTTTAATAAAGCTCATCGCAGAATTTCAATTATTTTAAAAAAATTTCCTCATTTCAATGATTTTTATTATATACTATTTTAATAAAATTACAATTATTTTTAATACAGTTTTAAATTAATTCCTCTAAAAAAAGGAAATATTCATAAAAAATTTATTAAAATTCTTGGAATAAAATTTTTTAAAAATATAATTATTTAAAAAGATGTTTATAAAATGCTTCATAAGAATTCTATTATTCAACAAAAATTAATAAATTTCTTCTCAAGAATTCAACTATTTTTATAAATAATAAAATTTTTTTCAGGAATTTCCTTATTTTTTATTTTTATAAATAACAAAATTCTGATCAAGAATTCAATTATTTTAAAAAATTTAAATAAAGCTCATCGCAGGATTTCAATTATTTTTAATAAAATTTTAATCGAATTCCACGAGAAATGTAATTATTCTGAAATTTTTTATTAAATATCTTCGAAAGATTCTAATTATTTAGAAATTTGTTAATGAATTATGAAATTCTTTATGAGAATTTAAGAAACATTCATTTTTCAATAAATAACTAATTTTTGTATTTAAATAATTGAATTCTCGTAGAATTTTGTAATAAAAATTAATTGAAAATGAATTTTAGTATAAATTTTAGGTATAATAATTAAATATTAATAGTATTTTGAAAAAGTTACAGTAACAATATTCTTACAATATAAAATAGTGATTTTATCACTCGATCCTTTTTAATTATTAGAAAACATGAAGAAATGGATCGGAGCAATCCATTTCTTCATGTTTTATAGCAATATTTTTAAAGTTGATTAATTTCAAAATGGTTTGAATTTGATATTTTTGAAAATCTTAATTCCTATGGAAAAATAAAAATAATTAAATATTTAAATTATTTAAAAAAGAAATTATTATTTTCGAATAATTTTACAATTAAATATATTCGTAAATAAATTTAACAGAACATTTTTTTCAATAAAATTTGTTTCTTCATTTTCTAAAAATTCAAAAATTTTCAGTTTCATTTTTAATTAAATTTTCTAATTGACAAATATAATTTATAAACATTTTTTTGCCTTTATTTTTAAAAAACTTTGAATTTTATTAAAACAATTGAAATGAAGAAATAGAATTGATGCAAATTATTTCCTTATAAAAATTGAGAATTTTCTACAAAAATATTAAGAAACGGGAATATCTCGTATTTTTCTTCCCAAAAGAAAAAAAAAAGTTTGTAAACGATATTGTTATTGAAAAATAAAAATTATGCATAAAATGGGTATATTTTCTACTTCTTATTAAAAATTTTTTAACAATTAACAATTTTCTAGTATTTTTTATAAATAAAAAAGAGAATAATTTGCATAATAATTTAGATTAATATAGTTAATAATTGTTCATTATTGTAAATTTTTCTCTACAAACATTCTTATGAAATTCAAAAGAAACTATCTTCAAACATCAATTTCCATTCTCTTTATTATTCAAAAAAAGATTATCCCGAACTTTACTATAAAAGTTTTTTTCTGTAGAGATTGTTTTTTCATTAAAAAAATCTTTACTGGAGTTCAAAGAAAAAAATTCTTTCAAAAAAAAAACTAAATAAATAAAAGTGTATTAAAAAAAAACAGAAAACAGAAAAAAAGGTGTAAAGTCCTAGAGATAACCAGTTTTTGTGATGTTGAGCGTTAATCTAAATAAAAATGAAGATTATGAGGTTCAGAAATTCCGAGTAAACATTACAGCTGATGATGTAGACGTTCTAAAAGTTTAAGAACAGATAACAAAAGTTTTATGACGTAAAGGCAAAGTGTGAGCTTTCTCATAAATTAAAGACAGTAAAAAGTCTTGCCCATGATTTTCAAAGTTTTACAACTAAAGTTTCATAACATAATGAAAATTTTCTTGTTCCTTCATCATGTACTTACACGGGAGTTATATTCAGAAACTAGTTATACAGTGCTTAAAAAATAATTACCAATATTCTACCCATCGAACATATATTATAAACTTTTCATTTTTTTTAAATTCAATTTTTTGATAATATAAATGAAAGTTGTTCACTTTTGAAATTTAATGTAATTATCAACTTGACAAATAAATCTGTTATTTATTTATTGCAAATTTGAAAATCATCAATTAGCAAAAAAATAACTGATAATTAGTGGGAAGAAATAATTGTTAGCAGAATATTGCCACAAAAATTTGATTTTATTTTTCCCTTACTTTTCCTTGATTTCCAGACAAAATATTATTAGACAATTCTACAAGAATTTAATTACAACAATAAATTATTTATTGAATAATTTAATGTTTCTTATAATTGAAATCTCATAAAGAATTTTATGAACAAATTTTTAAATAATTAAATTCTTTCGACAAATTTTAAAATTTTAATAAAATTTGAAACCTTTTCAGAAATTAATTATTTCTAAAAATTCACGCCATAATGCTTTTTTAGTATTCAACTATTTTTTAAAAAACTTTAACCGAAATTAATTTTAAAATAAATTTTTATTAGAAAATTCTACGAAAATTCAATTATTTAAATACAAAACTAAATAATTTATTGAATAGTTGAATGTTTCTTAAAATTAAATTTTTTAGAATAATTTTATTAACAACTTTTCTAAAAAATTAATTTCTTTTAAGGAATTTAATTAAAATTTTACAGAAATTTATTAAATTAAAGAATTTTATAACAACTTTTTAAAAATAATTGAAAATTTTTGAAGAATTTTATTAAAATTTTTGAAAATAATTGAATTCATGAGAAGAATTTTCGGAACCTATTTATAAAAATAACTTAATTTTTGACGTGGATTTTTCAAAAATTTTGAAAATAATTTAATTTCTGCAAAGTATTTTATTACCTTTCAAAAGAATTTAATTCTGATGAATTTTGTTATTTATCAAAATAATTGAATTTTGGAAAAGAATTTTATTAAAATTCCTTAAAATAATTGATTTTTTGAAAAAATTTTATTGTTTATCAATTTTTCAATAATATAAATGAAAGTTGTTCACTTTTGAAATTTAATGTAATTATTAACTTGACAAATAAATCTGTTATTTATTTATTGCACATTTGAAAATCATCAATTAGCAGAAAAATAACTGATAATTAGTGAAAAGAAATAATTGTTAACAGAATATTGCCACAAAAATTTGATTTTATTTTTCCCTTACTTTTCCTTGATTTCCAGACAAAATTTTATTAGAAAATTCTACAAGAATTCAATTACAACAATAAATTATTTATTGAATAAT